TTCAAAATACCAGCTCCTGTATTCATTGATCCTTAGAATTGTGCTTTTAGTGTCTATGTCATTTAGTTTTGCTCTGATCTTGGTTATTTCCTTCCTTGTGCTTGCTTCGGGCTGTCTTTGTTGTTGTTCCTTGATTTCTTGGAGGCGTGGGGTTAGGTTGTTTGTTTGAAATGTTTCTATCTTTTTTAGGTAGACCTGTATTGCAGTGAACTTCTTTCTCAGGACTGTCTTCGCTGTGTCCCATAACTTTTGGGTTGTTGTGAGTTCATTTTCATTTGTTTTCAGAAACTTTCTGATTTCTTCATTGATCTCATTCTTGACCCATTCATTGTTTAATAGCATGCTATTCAATCTCCATGATTTTGAGTGTTTTGGGTCTCTTCCCTTGGGGTTGGTTTCCAGTTTCACCTGTGGTTGGAGAAGATGCTTGGTATGATTTCAGTTTTCTTAAATTTGTTGAGGCTCGTTTTGTGTCCTATCATGTGGTCTATCTTTGAGAATGTTCCATGTGCATTTGAAAAGAATGTGTACTTAGCTTTTTTGGAATGAAGGGCTCTATATGTATCAGTTAAGTCCATTTCATCTAGGGTGTTGTTTAATGCCGCAATATCTTTGTTGATATTTTGTTTGGAAGATCTGTCCATTTTTGACGGCGGGATGTTCAAATTCCCTACTCTAATTGTGTTGCTGTCAATATATTTCTTGAAGTCCTCTAAGATCATCTTTATATATTTGGGTGCTCCTATGCTGGGTGCATATATATTTAAGATGTTAATGTCTTCTTGGTGGATTCTTCCCTTGAGTATTATGAAGTGGCCTTCTGGGTCTCTCTTTTTTTTTACATTTTAGATTTTTTTTATCTTTAGAAGGGAAGGGAAAGAGACAGGGACAGAAATATCTATGTATGGTTTCTACTCATACGTCCCATCCTGGGAACTGGCCCCTGCTGGGAACTGGCTTGCCACCCAGGCATGTGCCCTGACTGGGATTGGAACCAGTCTTTTGGTTCACATGCCCGTGCTCAATCCACTGAGCTACACCAGCCAGGGCTTCTGGGTCTCTTTTTATGGCCCCTATTTTGAAGTCTATTTTGTCTGATATGAATATTGCTACCTCGCCTTTTTTCCCTGGCCGTTTACTTTGTTTCCAGCCCTCACATTTAGTCTTTGTAGGTCTTTTGTCTTGAGGTTCATCTCTTGTAGGCAGCATATGTGTGGGTCATGCTTTCTTATCCATTCAGCTGTTGTATGTCTTTTTACTGGAGCATTTAATCCATTTATGTTTAAGGTTATTATTGATAGGTACTTATTCACTGCCATTTTTATACCTGTGTTTCTCCTTGTCTCTCTCTTTTCCTTCCTTTCCTTAAAGCAGTCCTTTTCGTATATCTTGCAGAACTGGTTTGGTGGAGGCGTATTCTTTTAGACTTCTTTTGTCTTGGAAGCTCTTTATTTGGCCTTCTATCTTGATTGGGAGCCTTTCTGAGTAAAGTAACCTTGGTTGCAGGCCTCTAGTTCTCAATACTTGGAATATTTCTTGCCATTCTCTTCTTGCTTGGAGCATTTCTATTGAGAAGTCAACAGCTACCTTATTGGGGCTCCCTTGTATGTTACTTCCTTTTTCTCCTTTGCTGCCTTTAAGATTCTCTCTTTGTCTTGGAATTTTGCCATTTTAATGATGATGTGTCTTGAAGTGGGCCTGTATGGGTTCCTCTTGATTGGGACTCTCTGTGTTTTCTAGATTTGTGTGACTTTTTCTCTAATCAAATTAGGGAAGTTTACCATCATTACTTTTTCAAATAGATTTTTTATCCCTTGCTCTTCTTCTTCTCCTTCTGGTATCCCTATTATTCAGATATTATTACGTTTCATATTGTCTTGCATTTCTCTTAATCCCTCTATATTCTTTCTAAACCTCTTTGCCTTTTCTTGCTCTTTCTGGGAGTTTTTTTTCTACTTTTTCCTCCAACTCGCTGATCCGATCTTCTGCTTCATTGATCTTGCTTTTGATTCCTTCCACTGTGTTATTCAGTTCAGAAATTGTATTCTTCATTTTTTCTTGGCCCTTGCCAATAATTTCTATTTCTTTTTTCATGTTGATATAGTTTGCAGTGAGTTCATTGTAATTCCCGTGTAGTTTCTGGTAGCTTATTGTGAGCTCTTTGAATTTCCTGAGAACCAGGGCTTTGAAGTCAGTATCTGATAGTTGACTTGCCTCTATTTTATCTAGCATTTTTTCTGAGGCTTCCTCCTTTCTTTTTATTTGGGGATTGTTTCTTTTTCTTCTCATTGTTTGTGAGACTCTTCTTCTTGTTAGCTTCAGCTTCTTAACTTGATTTGTTCTGGCTTCCTGTGTTTATGGTGTGAACTTCTGTGGTATAATACCTGTGAGATTCAGTGGTGTAGTCTCCTTGATCTCCCCAGCTCACTGGTCTTGGGCTGTCATTTACATTTACTGTGACTTTGTCTTTGGGGTTTGGTTGTTTTGGGGTCTTTCTTTTGTGGGTCCTTCCCACCAGCTGGTGAACTGATGGTCCCTCTGTCTACCACCCATTTTAATTTGTTGTGGTGCTGAGAGCAGACTGTGTTGAAGCTAGCTCTTTTGTGTGTACAAGGTTTTGAGGATTCTCTTCTGCTGTTGTTCAGTTGTTTGCACTGGGTAGTTTCTCCACTGTTTAGTTGTAATTCTAGATAGGTCTTGGATTGAGGTTTGTGTGGTTTCCACTTTCTCCTTTACCTTCTTCTATTGTTATCTGTTGGTGGCTCCTTTGTTGTTTGGTTTCCTCTTCCAGTGGGTATCCTGTTGTTCACCACTTCCACCTACTCTTTTGTGTGTGTGTGTGTGTGTGGTCAGTTGGAGGGGAGGGCAAAGTGGTTTATGAGACAGCAGGAGAGTATTCCATGATATTTACAGTAGCAGCCAGTAGAGAAGAGATAGGAGATCCTTTGACTATGTATAGTGATAACCATAATCTTCAACCCAACTAGCTACTTTTAGAAAGGAAGGAAAGAAGATAAGGCTCTTATTGGGGAGGGAAGGCTTGTGATTTGGATCTAGAAAGCAGTGAGATTATAGGAGGTCAAATTCTGAGGTAAGGTGAGAATAAAGGATAGTAAATAGGTGTAGTGTGAGAGAGAATAGAGTTAACCACTACAGTAATATAGTTCAGGAAACAATGGAGTGGGCTAAGATCTGAGAATGGTGTTGTGTAGTATTTACAAGAGTATGGAACATCTAGTATTTACAATAATATTAGAGCAACAGTCATATGACAGAATCTGTGAGATACCAAGAATAGGGAGTATCGGACCTTCAGTAGTGTGCTAATGGAGCACAGGTGAAGTGAGGAAGAGGAAATTAGCAATACGCTATGAATGAGAGGACAGGGGAAACCTTTCAAATGATGCAATATAACCAGCCAAGGTAAAGAAGACTAAACAGAAAGAGGAGGAATACAAAGATACTATTAAAGTAAAAGATTTAACAATAATGAAAAAAAACAATACGAATATGCAGTAACTTGCAGTTTCTCTGCTATAGCAAAATGAAATTTGTCTCTTTGTCTCTACTCTTGGGATGCCCCCTAATTGGATCCAACTCTGGTCTTTTCGCAGTTCCAAGTTTTTTGTCTCACTTGTAGGGGGTGGGGGAAGGCAGTAGAAGGAAGGAAAAAGTGATAAGTTTGGAGAGAAAAAAAGAAGGAAAGGGAAGGAAAAGGTATTGAAAGATAAAACAATAATAATATTAAAAAAATAAAAGATAACTTTAAAAAAAACAAACCCTCTTGTTGGTTTCTAGCTGACCAAACCAGTTTTTCTGTTCTCACTAGCTGCAGCAGGCTGAGGAGTGATTGGTGTGACCTTTCTCCCTTCTTGGTGTACTCAGCCAGTCTCCCAAGATCCAGACCAGCGCCTCTCCCCAGTGCCCCACCCAGGAATCCAGGTCCTCTTCAGAGCACTCTTTCCCTGGGAGTCACCGCCATGGGCTGGAGTGAGCCCTGTGTGCCTGGCCAGGCTTCCCTGGTCCCGCAGGCTTAGGCGGGAACCTTTCCAGTGCTATGGGGGAATGCAAGGCCTTCTGCCCAACCTTGGGATCGCTGCCAGGCTGGGTGGGTAGTAGGCCAAGCAGCTGTCCCAGGAGGATCCCCCAAGCAGTTTACTTTTCAAGAAATTTGTCCCACTCAATCCTGCTGCACAGCTCAGCCCAGTTCTCCAGCCAGATCAGCTACAGTTGGGGTCAGAGCCCAACACTGCTACTCTCAATTCTCCCAAGCCAGCAACCACAGGCTCCATGGGTGATTTAGGCCCTGGTGTTTGCCTCTTCCTGCCCATTCCCCTCTCTGACGCTTCAAACAAACAGGTCCTGCGCCCGGCTGGGTAGGGAGGGAGCTGATGACCTGGCTCTCTCCCAAGGACCCTGCTGCTGGCCCTCTGCTCCCAAAGAGTCCATGGCAGACTCAGCGCCTGGTCCCTGGTGTCCGGAGTGGCGGAGGCAGCAGCCTCGGCCTGCCGCCCCCGTGCTCGTCCCTCAGACCTTATTGACCTGCAGCCGTCTCCTCACCATCTGGTCTTTCAGTATCCACTATAATTTCTGGACTCCTATTCCTATATGCTGGGGCACTGTTGGCTATTTGCTGTGTTCCTCCACAGATCAGCCAGGTTTTTCTCCCTTGTATGGGGGAAAGCGGACTCTTCTCTGTCCTACTCCGCCACCTTCCTCTATAGTTTTTTAACTATAGGTCTTTTACCTTCTTGGTTAAATTTATTCATAGGTATTTGATATATTTGTAAATGGGGTTATTTGCTTAATTCATTATTGGTATATAAATGTAATCAATTTTTAATACATATTTTGTATCTTGGTACTTTACTGAATTCATTTATCAGTTCTAGTACTGTTTTTGTGGAATCTTTAGGGTTCTTTCCTTTCATTTTATAAATACCTAGAACATTAATGGCAAGGTTGAAGTGACAGTTACGGCTTATCATTCTCTTTTTCAGATGATCACAGTCGTGTTAAACTGCAAAATGCTGAAAATGATTATATTAATGCCAGCTTAGTTGAAATAGAAGAGGCGCAAAGGAGTTACATCTTAACACAGGCAAGTGGTATTATGTGAAGCAGATATCTGGCAATGCAGTTTTTGTGAGTGGTCTACTTTAAAATATAGCTAAAAGGATGTTTTGACATTTTTAGAAACGAAACGCTATTTCATTTTTTCTATTTCTTAATAATGAATTGCAGAAATTACAGTATTTTTCAGCTTTGTATATTTAAAATAAAAGTAAAGTTAATTTTAATGTTATACATTTTGTAAAGGAAAAAATTTTAATGAAATGGCTCAGGCCAGTTCTTCAAGGCAAATTATCTTCTTTGCTCTATACTTGATACAAAGCCTTTGTAAATCTTCCATTTCTCTCCAGATAACCTGTATGATAGCCGGAAACTCTTTGATAAGTTCTTCTGTACTCCTCTTGCTAGTACAAGGTTGTCCCAACCCATGGCCCATGGACTACATGTGGCCCAGGATGATCCAACACAAAATCATAAATTTACTTAAAACATTATGAGATTTTGTTTTTCATTAGTATTTGTGTATTTAATGTGTATGGCCCAAGACAACTCTTCTTCTTCCAGAGGGGCCCAGAAATGCCAAAAGTTTGGACACCCCCAAGTATGGACATGTTGTAGATGGTGTCTGGCCTTTCCTCAGGGAAGAATGGGGATGCTGAGACCAAGCACCCATAGGACTCGCTAGAAGAGAGAATAGAGAGCCTGGCAGCTAGTTCCCTTTGGTATTCTGCCCGATTACTTCATGGCACATTGGCCACACTTATATTCCAGTACTGCTTTTCTTTTATTCTGTAATAACAGAAATTATTTCGATTTATCTGCACCAACTACCCTTTGTTTATCAAATAATAGAGACCTTTTTAACAGTAATATAATTACGTCCAGTTAATGGTTTTTAACTATTCCAGAGATAAGTAGTATATTCATAATATTGAGATTTTTAAAAACTCAATTTTGATCAGAATATGGTAAAAAGATGTTAATATGAATGTAGCTGTAAGTTATTAGACTGTTTCTAATGCACAGGAACTTAATTACTGTCTTTTACTCATAGTAAAACGGTTCCTTCAAACAGAACAGAAAATCAAACACGAAAGGAAAAATAATCTGTGAAAAAACTGGTAAAGAACATAAATTCACAGTTCAAAGAAAAAAAGTAGGTAATATACATGTGAAAAGATCCTCAATTTTTCTAGTAAGGTGATACAAATTTAAACCAGCAATCAATTATCACTTTTTACTTGTCAGAACAGTGGAGACTTAAAAATTTACAGTGCTCAGTAGTCAAATACATACAGACATAAACATATGTGTGAGGATGTTTCTTGCAACTTTAATTTTAATAGCATAGGACCAGGACCTAGGACTGAAATGACCAATGAGGGACTGGCTAAGTAAGTTATATATAACCCACTAGCCAGTTTCTTGGAATTATGAGTAGAGACTTTTATTTGCCATTTTCTACCTTTCTGTAATATTTTAAGGTTTTCCTATGAGCATTAATGACATTTTTAATAACTCATTTCAAGTTAAAAAAATTTACTTTCTATTGGAAAAACTATAATAGAAAAGAATAACTATCCTAGAAACATTTAAAAATTATTTTATTGTCATGTATTACAGTTAACATACAGTGTGTTATATTACTTCAGGTATACCACATAGTAATTAGATATTTATATAACTTACAAAGTGGTCTCCCAGTAAATCTAGTGCCCATCTGAATACCTTACATGGTTTTTACAGTATCATTGACCACGCTATGTTCTACATCCCTGTGACTGTTTTTATAACCAGCAATTTGTACATCTTAATCCTTTCTCCTTTTCTACCCATTTCCCCCAGCCACCTTTCCGTCTGACAGTTGTCAAAATGTTCTCTGTATCTATGAGTTTGTTTCTGTTTTATTTGTTCATTTATCTTGTTTTTTAAATTTCACATATAAGTGAAATCATATGGTATTTGTCCTTCTATGTCTGACTTATTTCACTTAGTATAATACCCTATAGGTCTATCCATGTTGTCACAAATGGCAAGATTTCATACTTGTTCATGGCTGAGTAATATTCCATTGTATTTAGTATCACCTCTTCTTTATCTATTCATCTTAGATTGGATTCCGTATTTTACACTTAGATTGCTTCCATATCTTGGCTATTGTAAAGAATGCTGTGATGAACATAGGGATGCCTGTGTCTTTTCAATTCAGTGTTTTGGGTTTCTTTGGATAACCAGAAGTAGGATTGCTTTTCTCTTGTTATAGCCTTTGTTTTAAAATCTATTTCATCTGATATTAAGTTTTGGTAACCCAGCTTTGTTTTTCTTTATTTGTTTTTAAAAAATATTTTGTATTTACTTATTTTGGGGACAGGGAGAGAAACATTGATGTGTCAGAGAAATTATGTTTAATCAGTTGCCTCATGCATGCCCCAAGATGGGGTCCTGGCCCACAATCCAGGAGTGTGCCCTGACTGCGAATCCAACTGGAAACCTTTCAGTTCACAGGCCGGTAGTCAGTCCATTGAGCCACACCAGCCTGGGTGCCAGCTTTATTATTTTTATTTTTATTTGCCAGAAATATCATTTCCTATCCCTTTACTTTCAGTCTTTGTGCATCTTTCAGTTTGAACCAGGTCTCGTAGAGAGCATATATATGGGACTTGTTTTCTTAACTATTCCACTACCCTTTGTCTTTTGATTGGAGCATTTACTCTGTCTACATTAAAAGTGAGTATTGATTGGTGTGTAGTTATTACCATTTTATTATTTATATGTTTTATCTTCTTAAAGTTCCTTTGGCATTTTTTGTAATGCTAGTAGTGAACTCCTTTAGCTTTTTTTTCTTGTCTGGGATACCCTAGATCCTTATCACACACAGCCCTCTCTGTTTTTTGCTGGTCTCATTTATCTCTTTATTTATATTCTCATCCTGGTCCTTAAAATGTAGGTGTTTCTCAAGATTCTGTTTTGGGTTTTTTTACCCACCTCAGCCTATACACGTGACCTTTAGCTCTCAGGTACTATATTTTCAATCTTTGTATCTTAGGAGAGAGAGAGTTGACTCTGGATTCACAGTATCCATGCTCAAATCCTGGTCCCACTAGTTCACTCAATCAGCAAATTCATTCATCCAATGAAGATTTATTGATTGAATACCTAGCTTATAGCAGACATTATTCAAATAAAAGAGACATTAATAAAAAACCCTACCATTATGAACTTTACATCCTAGTGGGAAGTAAAATTAGTAACAGCTAGTAATTCTGTAACATTTTTTTGTACTTTACATGTTTCCTGTAATTTTAGCCTCAGGATAACTACTGTTATTATCTTTAGCCTCTGTGGTAAATACTGTTATTGTCTTGATGTTATACAGGAAAAATAATCTAAAAAAACCCAAGGACATTAAATAACTTTACCAAGGGCATACAACAAGATGAGGCCAGAATTTGAAACCACATAATCTCCACAGGATCCATGATTTATACTCTTTAATTATTCAACTCTACTGTTTTAAAATTACTATGCGACCTTAAACAAGTTACTTAACTCCTTAATCCTATATGTCTGTGTTATTGATATGTCTGTAGAATGATGTTGAAGGAAATTCATATAGTACCTGATACTGTGGTAAGCACTCCATGGATTGTATGTTGTAGAATTTGTTATTGCTCTTTATTAGTAGTAGTAATAATAATAATCCTTTTATAAAATGCTTAAATCCTATCTGAATAAAGAAAATGTCTGCCATCAAGATAAACAAAATGTCTATTAGTGATTATGTTTAAACCTCCTGTCCCTGTTGAACTGTTTCTGTGTGTCTTGAAAGAGAGCCCCTTCATTCATTTGGAGCACGAGAACTCAGAAGCTGGTCTTCAGCTTCTTTTTTCCCCTGAATTTCTCCCCTATATTCCAGGTCTCTGCTTGATATTTTTACCCAGATAACTCATTGACATCACAAATCCCACATTTTCTATGTCTAACTTTTTTTTTTAACCAAACCTTTAAAAAATTTTTTACCTTCTTTTCTCTTTTTCTCATCTGGGTTAAAACTATCCTCATCATCTTCTGGATCCTTTCCTTTCATTTTTCTGCCTCTGCTCTTTTCTAGACTTCTCTTAAACTTCTTTTGTTCTGTGGCAGTAGCTTTTTAACTTATTTCCATGTCACCAATCCTTCCCTTTGTAATCCATATTTAATAATGCCACTAGAATTATTTTTGTAACATACAAATCTGATCATGTCACTCTTTAAAACAAATTTGGTGACTATTTCCTGAATGGAAGACCCTTTACTACTATGCAGGTGTAGTTTTTTACTGCATACCAGCCCTTTGCCTTCATTGATCTATTTGTCTATTCTCAGATATGTCCTAAACATGCACATGTCTTGCCTTATGATTGGAATGGACTCTGACCCACTCTCTGAGTCAGTGCCCTCCTTATGTTCAAGGCTCTGATGTAATATCTTTCCTATTCCCAAAACTCAGATAGTTTACCTCATGCTCTTGCGGCATTTGATGTATTTCAGTTAGTAGAACAAGTACTTCTCCTCGCCTCCTTTGTAAGCTCTTTGAAGGCTGAGACTGCTCTTGCCCTTGTACCTTGTATTTTGGAAAGAGAACATACTCAGAAAATATTTCAAAGGATAGAGAAAACTAGAGATAGTAAATGTTTATTAAAACTTCTGATTGTCCTTTGTTCCCTTTTTATTATCTTTTCCCCTGAGTTTTATGAATTAAAAAAAATATCAGTCTCTTGGTATAAATCTCTATTTTGCAGAAGAAAGTTGGTAGTATTGCTGGTAAGTGGAAGAGCTGAGAGGTAAACCCTGGTCCCCACATTCTTATTGTACACACTAAGGAATGACTTCATTGGTGGATTGATACATCCTTTTTTTTTTTTTTAAGATGAAAGAAAAAGCATTCATTTTACTGGGGATTTACTCACTGCTATTTTTACCTTAACATTGTCTGTTTTGTTTTAGAAGTACATCAAATAATAAATAGTATGTGTTGAGTGAGAAAAGTATCTTCAAATATTAGGTTGCAATTTTGCAGGATTCTCACTAGAATTCTATTATTTTAATAATTTAGAAGCTTAGATTTTATTAATTCAATTAACATTTAAGAGCATCTGCTACATACCAGGGGATACAATTGCCTTAAAGATGCTTTCAGTCTGGTATCACTTGAATTACCTTTTTTTACTTTTGGGGCTGAAGCTCCAGGCCGACCTGGCCAAGTCCTCGTTGTGCCTCTAATTTACCACTCCACCACACTGCTTTATGAGGTGACTGCATGCTGAGTTGCTTCAGGTACATTAAAACCTCATTTATTTTAACCTTCACTATTTGAAATTAGTTATAATTTGGGCATGGCCTTTCATCTCTTATTTGCTGTTTGTTCTGGCCTGTGTTACCATTAAACGCAATGTGAAGGTAATTGGAAGTACATATTACAACATGATATTTCTTTCTCATGGCAATATTGTAATATCAACCATTGCCCCTTTAAGTCTGCTGTTGAGGTCACACATGCTGTGGTTTTGTAGATTAATAGTTTTATTGTGGTTAAGGTACTTTGATGTTTCTGCTTTTTCTGGAAATCTTTTCTTGGCTGGCTGGCCAGTGATAGCACAAACTTCCTCTTTTCTGGACTGCCCTGATCTATGGGAGGCAGGGCCTCCTCTTTTCCTGCTGCGGAAGCTGAAGGGGATGGAGATTTCCTTTGCCTACCTCCTTTGCAGGTAGAACATGAGTAGTCAGGTATTCCCATTTGTGATCTTGACTCTGGTTTGCTTACAGGTTTTGTGTGAGTACCACAGCCATCATTATATGGCAGTACTAGCTAGCAAAGCAAGGTGGTAGACCTGAGAGTATCAGGAGCATGGTACAACCCAAGCTGACTCTTCTTTGGGTAGAATCTTGCCGTGATATTTGTTTCTGCCCAAGCTTGATTCTCCAGTTGTCAACTCTGAAAGTGCCATGATAGCCTGAAGAATTTCTTTTCTGCCTAAGTGAATAAAAGTCAGTTTTTATTATTTATAACTGATAATCCTAACTAGTACAGACATATTTTTTTAATTCAGGTGGATTCAAAGTCTTGATTAGCTAATTACAGTCAGTGCATTTTTCTTAAACTGGAATCATACTTGAAGGAGTTTCCTTGAGCTTTGCTCCATCACCTCTTATATATTTTTTCTTGGCTATTCTTACAGGGCCCACTTCCTAATACAGGTTGTCATTTCTGGCTCATGGTTTGGCAGCAAAAGACAAAAGCAGTTGTCATGCTAAACAGAGTTGTGGAGAAAGAATCGGTGAGTAATACTTAATATTTACAACTTAGCGTACTGCTTGTGATCATTAACATAAATATTTTCATATTTCTTTTGGGATATTTATTCATAACTTTTGGTATTTAATTACTGAAGGCTAGTAGTCAGGGTGTTTCTGATCTGAAAAACTAATGAATCCTTTTCCTTTCATACTTTTTTTAATTGTTCAAGTACAGTTTTTTGCCTTTTGACCCTCCTTTCATGCTTTTAATATGTAAGTAACAATTGCAGACAACTGTCCTCCAAGATATAAATATAATGGAACAAATACTAGCTAGTAGTATACATAGAACTTGGGAATAGAACCTAGGCTTTATTAGAATTTTTACAATTTTTTTATCAGAATCTTGGAAATTTTATTAAAGATTAAAGTAACAGGGTTTAAAAAATCTATATAAATTATTATTGGCTCTTAGGTCATGAAATAGTAGGAAACTTTTGAAATTTGAAGTGTAATCTAAACACAGTGCTAATTAGTTGCTTAACTTTGGTTAAGTTATTTAACTTCTATAGCTTTAGATTCATTTTCTTTCAAACAGGCAAATTGGAAAATATTATCATTAAGGTGTGTTCCAGCCTTAAGATCTTGGACTATTCTACTTCTTCAGATTCCTGGTTCATACTGTTTTCTAAATTTATAGTTGCAGGATTTCCATGGAGGTCAAAATTTTTCTAATTTATTTCCATTCTGAAGTGGCATTGACATACCAAAATTTCCAGTATACATTTACAGTGGCTTTTCATGGTTCCTAATATGATTTAAAAATTAAGTGATGACAACATTGTCAGCATTGCAGACTAAATGATTTATTAGTTTCATTCCTCACTGTGGTATATTATTACTGTATTGATAAAGTAAGATTGCCACTAGAAGTTGGAAATCATATTTATGGTGGTTGGATCTATATACGTAATAAGATTTAGGTGTAATTATTTGGGTTGATTACTTCATAGGTAGGTGGAGTGTTTAGTTTATCAAGAGGCCTATACTGTCTGATTGTCTTTTTATGTTAGCAGTCATTGTTGTTCAGTCCTTAGTTCCTTAATTAAGGGTTACAAAATAGTGATATTCCAATTTTATCATTCTTTCATGAGTTTATGTTAAAATACTTCTATAAAAAAAGTTTTCCATGCTAATTATTTGACAACTTTTATATAGGAAAAGCGGTTTTCAAAACAGAGTTGATTCTCGAGTGTCCTCAAAAGGTGTCCAATTAGGGTTTTGTGGTGTGAGGAAGGGGCGGTATCAATTATTAGGAACTCATGGATTTAAAAATAATTCATTTATCTCCATTGCACTTATTGTCCTTATTAGTAATCAGATTTTTCATTGGAATCTCTTCAGGTTGGGCCCTGAGTCTTTTTAACACAAACCTAATGGGCCTTAATAATAGCTTTTTTGCTATCTGGAATAACTACATATTAAGGGCTCATCTTAAACTCTTCTTCATAGAATCAGGCATTTCTTTAAAGAGTCTTGCTTTTAAAGCTTTTCAGTCAACAGGACTAGAGAAAAATGTGTTTGTGTTTTAAGATAATAATACCTCAAGAGTTCATACTAATTACTTCCAGTTCAAATTTAGGACTGTAGAGGTTAGCTTAACCCTCTCTACCTTATATTTGTTACCTTCTATTTTTATACCAAGGATTTTAGTTCTTAAAAGACACTAGGGATGTAGAATTATCTTATAATGACCCATTTACTTTGTCCCAAATTACACACAAAGATTATTCATAAAAACAATATCAACTCCATCACCAAAATAATTACCGAAAAATGTTTAACATTTTTTTGTTTTCCTCATTCTCTTTCTGGTTTTTCTAAGGTGTACTTGATGTACATTCTCATAGTATATAACATACTAGTGTTTCTCTTACATTCCTTTGAAAATCCTACTTCTACATGTAAATGTGTATTTAATATTCATCGCCAGTCTTTGTTGATGTTTCTCCATTTGTTCTGTCTATAGCTCATTCCTTGGTAGATTCTAAGGAAGGACTCTTGGGAAAAATAACCCCTGATTTCTTACATGTTGATGACAGTTTAACTGCTGTCCTAATGCTTAAAGTCAGTTTGGCAGGACATAAAATACTTGGGTTACATTTGTTTTTCTTTGGTCATCTTAAATATGACCAAAAGAAAAAAAAAGTTACTCCATTTCTTTCTGGCATTACCAAGTGGAAATCTTTTTTTTTTTTAATAAATCACTTAAAAAAAAATCTAGATTCTGTTAATTTTATCAAACTATGTCTTAGTGTTGGTAATTCTGGGTCAATTTTTCCGGGGGCATAGTGTACTCTTTCAATATGTGATTTGACATATTTTTTTCCTTTTTTAAAGAAAAATTTATTGAATCATACTTTTAGTATTTATTGTTCTCTTGCTTGATTTGGTGTTCTTTGAGTCTTCCTATTATACATATCTTAGATTTTCTCTGCCTATTTTTTTAAAAGATTCTATTTACTTATTTTCAGAGAGAGAGGAAAGGAGGGGGTGGGGAGAAACATCAGTGTGGTTGCCTCTTGAATGCCCCCCACCAGGGACTCAGCCCATAACCCAGGCATATGCCCTGACCAGGAATTGAGCCAGCAACCCTTTGGTTTACAGGACACGCTCAATCCACTGAACCACACTAGCCAGGGCTCTTTGACTATTTTTATATTTGACACATGACTAATTCGATTTGCTACTTTCTTCATTTAAATTTTTTTTTTCCTTTTAAGATGTTATCTGTTCCATTTATTCACACCTCTGTTCCTTTTAAGATTTTATTTATTTTTGGAGAGAGGGAAGGAAGGGAGAAAAAGGAGAGAAACATCAGTGTGTGGTTGCCTCTCATGCACCCCCTACTAGGGACCTGGCCTGCAATCCAGGCATGTGCCCTGACTGAGAATTGAATTGGCAACCCTTTGGTTTGCAGGGCAGCATTCAATCCATTGAGTCACACCAGCCAGGGCAGTTCCTTTTAGTTAATTAGCCTTCTTTTGTGTTCTATTAATGAAATGACTCTTATATTACCCTGCCTTAGTCTACTAGCTCTATAATTTGGCTTTTCAGAAGATACTTAATATTGCCACAAATAAATTTTATAGTTCAGCCAAAATTTAACAACTGTAGGTGAAGTAGGCTTATCTTCTAATTCTCTTACCTGACTTAATAAGTAAATACCACAGTGTTATTTCTAGATGTGTCATGTTTAGTAGCAGATTTATAGGTATTTATGAAAAATATTTGTTAAATAGAACCTTTTAAAATATTTTTGGAATATACGATTCTTGCAAGAGTTTGATACTTTTGGAAACATAAAGTAAATGACAGTATGCTGTTAAACTATAGGTTATCATGTTTTGGAAGTGACAAATTCATTTTTATTTTATTAATATTATAGCTGCTTATGGCTTTTTTACGGTATAAGTTATAGGAAAACTTTACAAACCTGCTCTTATAAAATGTCCATCCACTTAAAATAGATTAAACATCAAATATAGTATGACTGTTCTTAGATTTGAGTAGTTAAAACAGTAGTGTGTGTATGTATGGTTTGTTTTTATTTTCCAATTTTTATGGTTTCGTAATGTCTATATACTAAAATACATATATATACATATTCTTAAATTTAGATTAAATGTGCACAGTACTGGCCAACAAAAGACGACCAAGAGATGCTGTTTAAAGAAACAGGATTCAGTGTGAAGTTCTTATCAGAAGATGTGAAGTCGTATTATACAGTACATCTACTGCAATTAGAAAATATCAATGTAAGACTTTTCATGCCCCAAAGATTGAATTTTATATGAAGATTTTAAGAATTTTTTTTATTTGATTCTTTGAAAATTATAGTTGACAACAATATTAGTTTTTCAGGTGTTCTTTGTTATTAGATTTGAATTTTGGAGCAACATATACATTTTAATCATAATGCCTCCTTTTTAGGACTGTTATGGAGATCCAGTGAACATGTGCATGTAAAGCATCTGATGCAGCGTAGGCAGCCAGTAAGCAACAGCTATTGATACTTACTGTTCAGAGTAGGAAGCTATTTAAGAAAATAACTTACTGGAATGTTGTTAATTCAAGTGATTCACCACACAGAAATTTGTCATGATTGAATTGGGCAAAACAATGAAATAAATTGAGCCTGTATTTTCAAGAATATATACTTGTTTATTTTTCCAGAAATATAACAGTTGTTCCTTGGTATTTGGTTGAGATACATGTAAATGGTGGATTGTGAGCCTGCTGTTGTCAAGCTGGGGATCAAGACCTTCCTCTCCCTTGTTCCACTTACTTCTTTTGCATTCTTTGTGTTATAGTTATAATAAATAGAAAATATGAAATGATAGCGATTCTTATATGCAATTACCAACTAAAAAAACTAGAAAATAGGAAAATGTTTGCCATAAAATCACTTTCAGAAGGTATATAGTCACTGTATAAAGTGAGATACTGTTTTACTTAACTATTAAGTAGATTAATTCATTAACACAATTACTAACAAAAAATAAAGCTTTGTAGAGAACAGAAGGGATGTACATAAAAGTACTTTTTGATACTTAAAAATACCTTTTATGGTTGATATCTTGGAATACCTCTGTTTTTATTGCGTACTGTAAGCATGGTTGCATACCATGTGCTTAATGCCCAGACCCAGGTACCCATGACATCCATAACCAAGCTTATGTGATTTCTTTTAGGTCATCTAAGGAGGCTCAGGGGTGGGAATTACCAGGCTTCTACTTATTTTTAAATTTTCTTTACCATGTTTATTCTGCACCAACTATTCCATTTACATATGCCTTAAGCTATATCGACACACATCAACAGCTATTTGATTGTACGGTGTTGTTTCCTGAAACAGAACTGCATTTGCATAAACTTCTCATGGTTCTCTGCATTGTCTTCTCTTGGTATTTATCCCAGGTACCTCATCTACTTGTAGCGTTAAAATGGAGAAGGGCATAGATGTCTTTCTCTGTTTCTGAAACCTAATTGAAAATTAATTATATCTGAAATAATAAAGGGGAATGACTTGTATTTTGTTTATTAGTTTGCAGAGTGCTTTCACATATATACCATTTGATCCACAGTCTTCCTGGAATGTGGATAGAGTAAATATTCTTAATATCCCTGTATTTCATGTTTTTTAAAAACCCTAAAATCTATTAGGTTATAGGATTTTTTTTTTTTAATAAACAGATTACTCAGCTAAATAAGTGACAGATCAGAACTCAAATCCAGATCTCCTAACTTCTAATGACATGGAGTTAAGTCTTTTGAAAAAAGATGCTAATTGTTGTAAAGGAGGATTCTTGGTTCTAAAGCATTTTTCTGAATGAGATCACCATGTGAGCTGGCCAACCACTATGTTTTAGTTGTTAGCAACTGTGTGATTTTTTTACTGGCCTAGGTTTAGAGTCTACCGTAATTAAATAGCAACAGTTTGTTTATATTCTATTTTACAATCTTTAGTAAGCACTAGGAATATTAGAATAAAGTAGCATTTGTTTGAGAGGCAGAATTGAATTTCGTTAATTATTTAGACTCTGGAACCAGATTGCCTGAGTCTAAATCCCAGCTGAGCTCAGCTGTTCCTTGCTGTGTGATTGATCTCATTATTTAACCTCTGTACCTCAGTTTTCTTATCTACAAAATGAGGATAATGATATTTACCTATCTTAAGGGGTTTGTTATAAGGATTAAGTGAATTAATACTGTATAACAGTACCTAAAATTCAGTGTAGGATCCACAGTTATTAGCTTTAGTTGTCTATATCTGTTTTCTCTATAATATTAATGAATTGGAAACAACTGCAGAAGCAAGGGCAATTGCAAAGATCAAGTTGAGGAAGAAGGAAATAATGAGAGAGCAAGAAGTCATAAAGTAGGGGGGTGATAGCCAATCTCACCAGCAGATCTTGGTTGAGATTCCTGAGGTGCCGAGAACCAGTTGGCTTCTAAAGGAGTCTGGCTTATATCTATTATCTATATCTGGGCCTGGTTTATACCTGGATCCAGGTCCAGAGCTGTCTGGGCAAGCCCTGCTGTTTTACAGACCTCTTGTCTAATGGAGCAGTAAAACTACATACCAGCAGTATTTTTCCAGTGTCTTGATTAGTGCTGAGTTTGAACTTTTGCTCCTGAATGAAGAGATTGAATTGTTGCTTTTAAAGTGGGCCTGCAGCTTAAGCTATGAAGATAGTTTTGAGGGACTTTTAAAGTACAAGGTCATCTAGTGTGCTTATTTTATTTATCTTTAATTTTTTCTTTATAGTTGTCCTTCACTATTTTCCATAGTATTGTTGGCCAGCTTATTCCAGGAATACAATTGTAATACTGACAGCCAGTCTTCTATTTCTCTGTCTCTGTAGATTTACTCCAAACAGATAAGTGTCTAATTATGATGTTAAGCTGGGACTTGAGTCAAGATAACTTAAAGGTTTCTCTCTTCCAGAATGTCCTGGTCTCTTCTCTTCCTACATATAGCCTACCAATCTTTCACACACTACCACCTATGCCCCATTTTTTACTGAGGTCTCAGAATAATATATCTGTGATGTGTTCATTTTTATCAGCTAAGAGTTTCTCTCCTTAATTTAAATTTTACTTTACTGGCTCATTCACTGCTTCTGTGTGTATATATTTTAACTTTATATAATAAGGCTTTTAACTCCCCATGGGCAAGATTCTTATCTGTTATCTTTGAACTCCTCTCTTTTGTTGCACTGAGTACATTGTTAACCATACTATACCTGAGTGGTTATTCTCAAACAAGCATGATTCTTCCACATCCCTGTAAAAACCTTCTATGGCCCTTGCATAAGTCTGTGACCCAGCCCATTCAGGTCCTTGCCTCCTTCTCTACCTCATCTCCTTCAGGGACTCAAGATTCCTTCTTGCTAAAGGACTTACTCTTCTCACATAGGTTTTTACTTGGGCGCTCATACCCCTGCATGTTGCTTTTCTTTGCTTAGAGAAAGCCCAGTGCCTAACTATCCTGTCACTCTCCTCTCCTACAGATCTGGTGAGTTCTATTAATCTTTTAAAATAACAGTAACCAGGACAAGGGGGTTCTGGCCAAGATGGAGGCATAGGTGGAAACACTTTGCTTCCTCGTACAACCAAAATAAGGATAACAGCCAATCTAAAAGCAATAAACAAGCAAAAGTGCCAGAAAATCAAACTGCATGGAACTCCAACAGCCAATGAGTTCACCCAGACCTGTAGGAAGGTTGGAGATGGGAGACGACCCCTGAGGGGAAAGGACACATGGCAAGGCATTGGACTATGCGGGCAAGGCATGGCTGGCTGAACAGAAAACTAAAGACTCAAAGCTAGCTGTAAACTATTACAGGGGTTGCCATGGCAGGAGAAACTCCCAGTCTCACACGAGAGAGTTTGTTGGAAAGTAGGGCCAGAATGGAGCGAGTGGCATTGTTCCCTGTCAGAGACCCTTCCCCCAGAGACATTGCCACATCAGCAGCAAAGAGGGTAGCCCTGCGCTGGCAATAACCTAAGGCCCTGCCCTTTTACAACATATAGGGGTGTCGAAACAAAGAAACATGGCCCAAATGAAAGAATAGATCAAAACTCCAGAAAAAGAGCTAAGCAATGCAGAGATAGCCAACCAATGGGATGCAAAGTTCAAAACACTGGTAATCAGGATGTTCACAGAACTAATTCAGCTCAATCACAAAGTGAAGGAAGAAAGGAAGGCTACCCAAAGTGAAATAAAGCAAAACATACAGGGAACCAACAGTAATGGGAAGGAAACTGGCACTCAAATAAATGGTTTGGAACAAAAGGAAGAAATAAGCATCCAACCTTAACAGAATGAAGAAACAATTCAAAAAAATGAGAAGAGGCTTAGTAACTTCTAGGACAACTTTAGGTGCTCTCAGAGCAGAATCATAGGGGTGCCAGAAGGAAAAGAGCAAGAGCAAGAAGTTGAAAACTTATTTGACCAAATAGTAAAGGAAAACTTCCCCAATCTAGCAAAGGACAGAGTTCCAGGAAGTCCAGGAAGCCCAGAGAATCCTGAAGAAATTCGACCCAAGGAGGAACACACCAAGGCACATCATCATTAAGTTACCCAAGATTAAAGATAAAGACAGAATCTTAAAACCAGCAAGAGGAGAGGAGTGATTACTTACAAAGGACTTCCCCATAAGACTGTAAGATGGTTTCTCAGAAGAAACCCTACAGTCAGGAATGGACTGAAAAGAAGTATTTGAAGTCATGAAATGCAAGGACCTATATTCAGGATTACTCTATCCTGCAAAGCCCTCATTTAGAATGGAAGGCAGATGAAGTGTCTCCCAGATAAGGTAAAGTTAAAGGAGTTCATCATTACCAAGCCTTTATTAAATGAAAGGTTAAAAGGACTTCTATAAGAAATAGAAGATCAAAAACCTGAACAGCAAAACGACACGCTCACAACTATCAAACTCAACCTAAAAAGCAAAAACACCTGCAAAAAAACAGAAACTAAGGAAACAACCAGAACAGGAACAGAACCAGAGAAACGGAGATCACATAGAGGGTTTTCAGTGGGGTGGGGGAGAAGAAGAATGGAAGGGGAAAAGTACAGGGAATAGAAGCATAATCGACAGCCATAAAATAGACAAGGAGCGGTTAAGAATAGTGTAGGAAACAGAGAAGTCAAAGAACTTACATGTACAACACATGGATATGAACTAAGTGGGCAGGGGTTGGGGGAATGCTGGAGAGTTGGGGGGTGAAGGGCAGAGGAGATATAAAGGGGAGGGAAAACTGGGAAAACTGTAATAGCATAACCAATAAAATAGACTTAAAAATATTACTCATTAAAAATAAAGCAAAAGTAACCAAATATTTAACATAGAGAATATAGTGATCCTGGCAAAAATAATGAGAGCCTGAACTAAGGCCGTGACCATGAGGGTACAGATTTGATATATTAAATCTATATTTAGGAGATAGTGTTAACAAACTTTGCTAATCTTCAGGTGCAGAGGAAATATTAAGTGAAGAGACTAAAAATATGGAGAGTTTTAAATTGATTGGAAATTGTTAGGGGCTTAAATTAGTTATTATAATAGTTTCAGAAATAGCCAGTATCTATTAAGCTTTATCATGTGCAAAGATACATTAGGCACTTTGCATTCATTATTTCATTTATTCCTCATAATAGCCTTCTAAAATAAATGCTATTTTTAACCCTATCTACAGATGATGAAATAGGGCCATATGGAAGTCTTTTGGAAACATAATCTTGGTACCTTCTATATATACCTAGAAGTATAAATATAATTAGGCCTGGAGCCATAGAACTGCATAGATTTTTATATTAATTAGAAAATATGTATACTGATGATTAAAATAATAGTTAATTTGAATGGCTTTAGATAGCATACATTTAAATTGCCATTGCAATAAACCTTACAGCTCCCCATTGTCTTATACCTGCTCAGCTCAGATTATCTTTCTGTCCTCCATTTACAGGGTAGGGCAACAGTAGATTTATAGTTGTGAGGTCTGGAAACAGTTTATTTTTGTATTATTGTTTATTAATTTTATTTTTCATAGGAACAACTGTAAACCTACTTTTGCCCACCCTGTATAATGAGTTTGATTTCTTTATTCAAGGCTTTAAATTCTCCTTCAAAAAATGTAAAAGATTTTTGCCTTAAAAAGGACAGTGAACACCTTGACATTTTGCGGTAGAGTGGTATACATAATGCAACATTGTACAAAGAGAATCAGGCAGGTGTGTACAGAGCAGCTGGAGAAGGGACAGCTAAACAGTTGTGGGTGCAGACTAGGTATGTGTGTGTATGTGTGAGGTGCAGCTGTGGGAAAGGGCTGGGAGGGACCGCCTGAGCATTGCTGAGGGAAAACTGATGTGACTTGGTGACTTAGGAGAAGGAAAGGGTGCTTCAACAGTTTTCATACAAGGATTTTGTCAGATATTCTAAAGTCTAAATGTAGAGCTTGTTTGGAATGAAGATGAATTTTGTTTTAGATCTCTCCTTTGGGCAAGCCTTTTTTTCCCCAGGTGAAAAAGAGGGAAAAGGGGTCTGTCTAATAATGCAAACATTTCTTTTATACCACAGAGTAACATCAGGCTCTTATTGCTTTAGGTGGTCTTTTGGGATTTATGTGATTTTGTGAGCTGTGTTTTTTTTTTATCTTTTTTGAGTAAGAGTAAATTAATAAAGGAGTTTTTTAGTATGTTCTGATAGAGAAGAAAAAGACTGATTTTCAAAAATCCATTAGTCATACAAAGATTGTATCATACAAATAGTTGTGAGCACTTCTGAGAACTGGCTAGTGTGACTTGTATGTCACACTTGTATAACCCAGACAGTGTAACTTGAATTTGAAAAAATTGAACAAGGGATCAATAGTCTTGAGCCAAAATCATACAAGCAAAGAAAAAGCAAACAGTTGTTCAGAATTATGAGGTAAGCCTAGGTTTTGAGCCAGGAAGTGATTCAATAATTGACCTAGGAACATTGGCCCAAGCCATAAGGAACACAGCTCCTACCCAAGCAGGGTCCACACTCAAATGGATAGTCTGGCCCTGCTGTGCACAGTCAGCACTGTATGGTAACTGTTGACCACAGCAGGGAATTAATTTGGTTTTCACTTGTTCAATTTTAACTTTGTAAAAGCCTTCTTAATTTGGAATATTTAAAATACCTTTTTTTAGTACAGTAAATTTAATTCCCTTTTTTTACATATGGTAAGATACAGTCGTTTTGGTGTAAAATTCTTGGAGTTTTGATAGTGCATTCCGTTGTATAAGACTTCACCCCCATCAAGATACAGACCAGTTCTAGCACTACCAACAATTCCCCCCCACCCCATTTTTCCTAGGCTGTCTATGTACAATCAGTGCTACACCCCACTCCCAGCTCCTCAAAACCACTGAGTTGACTTCTATTCCTATAATTTTTTAAAATTTTTATTTAGTTATTTTTCAAGTACAGTTTTTTTGTCTATTTCTCCCATCCCAGCCCCCCTGCCCCGTCTCCCCACCTCCTTCCCATTCCCCCCCACAAGTCTTCATCCCTGTGTCTTTCATACTTGTTCCTCAAAATCCCTCCCCATTTTTCCCCTTAAATTCCCTTCCCTCTCCCCTCTGGTTGCTGCCCACTTGTTCTCTATTTCAGTGTCTTTGTTTTTATTCTGTTTGCTTGTTTGTTTTGTTGTTTAGCTTCCTGTTAAAGGTGAGATCATATGGTATTTGTCTTTTCCAGACTGTCAGTAAGTGGAATCATTATGTATCTTTTGGAGTCTGGCTTCCTTCACTTATGATACTTAATATGGAAATGTTTTGAAGTCTAGTAACAAGAATGATAGTAATAAAAAAATCTAGTACCCCAGTATGTTGAGAACCTATTGACCATGGTATATTTGGAACTACGAAAGCTGAATATTTAGAAGAATTAATCACTAAAACTATGTAATTGAACTTTTTAAAATACAGTTTTTAAATTTCTTTACTGCTATATCAGTGCTGTGCCTGATATAATTTAGTCTGGAAAAGAGGGAACTTTTTTTTTTTAAGTGAAAGTTGACTTTAACTTAGAAAATTTATTTTGAAAGCAGTTTCTATCATAATGTTTGGCTGCTAGCCCTTAAAAATACTGTTTTCTAATGTTAATTCTGTGGCTTCTTTCTCCAAAATGTCTTGTAATGAAACTGAAAAATTGTGCAAAGACATGTTTGTTTACAGAAATGAGTGTAAGGCACAAAAGTGCTCCTTAGGGCAAAAGGCAATGGGCAAAAACTAAGGAACATTTTCATAAGGAGTAAGTCAGATATATAAGATTATCAGGACTACCCAGGAAGTGATAGTGAATGCCCAGCAGGCTTTAAGAGACAGGAAACATTTAGCATATCAGCAAAAGCATATAAACAATTTTAAGGCTGGAAATTATTACCATGGGGAAAAGCAGCAATTAGAAGATTTTTTAAGTTTTTGAATTGTTCCCCTGTGCCTGTGTAACGCAATATAAAAGATAATTTATAGAATGAAAAAGATTGTATCTAAAAATTTTTTTTAATTCTTAAAAAGAAGACCATTAAAGAATGTAAAATTATACTGGTAGACATTTAAAAAATTGAATAAAAAAAGAATCCACTCATCATCAAGTGTGAATTAAAGAAAGTATTGGCAGCATATATGGTACAGGTTAGTGGTTAAGAACTTAAGTACTACACTGGACTGCTTCTTCAAATTTTGGCTCTGCCATTTTCTAAATGTGTGACCTTGGATAAATTAGTTAACCTTTGCTTAGTTTTCTCATCTGGAGAATGGCTTTTAAATAGGATTGTTATATTATTAATACATAAAAAGCTTAGAACACACCTGCAAAATAATGTGTTAGCTATTATTAATGTATTCTAAATTCTCCTAAAGAAAATCTTTCCAAAGTTGTGTAGGTGATTATCAGAAACCAAAGGAAAAATCATGGTATAAAAAGTCCATAGGATTAAAAGCATTACACAAAGTACTTACTTAATAATTCTGAAGTCGTTTTTTCGAAGGAAAAAAAATGGAACTAATCTTTTCCTCTTGATTTTTACTTTTTAGAGTGGTGAAACCAGAACAATATCTCACTTTCATTATACTACCTGGCCAGATTTTGGAGTCCCTGAATCACCAGCTTCATTTCTCAATTTCTTATTTAAAGTGAGAGAATCTGGCTCCTTGAATCCTGAACATGGGCCTGCAGTGATCCACTGTAGTGCAGGCATTGGACGGTCAGGCACCTTTGCTCTAGTTGATACCTGTCTTGTTCTGGTAAGTGCTCCTTATGAGCTAATTTTAGGCTTGTTTACTTTTGTGTTGTTTCCACTGATAGGAGTAAGCTAATGTCAGTACCTAGAACTATGGTTTTCAAACTTAAATTTCTTCCCTTTTTTAGGAAAAACCTGAACATTTCATTTATACTCCTTCAGTAGCACTTGTGGGGTGTAAGAATAGCTGAGTCTTATCACATCTACTGTATTACTTTACTACTCGGCCTATAGATAGTCTACTTCATTCATAAAGTAGGTTGCTACATTAAACTGAACTTTGATATGTTTAAAACTCCAGTGTTTATTCTGCTAATGGTGAATATTAAAACTGAATCATGTGTGTGCCTGTTCCCAAACATAATTTCAACAACTTTTTCTTTTTCAGTCGAGGGGAGAATCTGGTGGTTATAACACCAGATCAATAGTCCAGTGCTGGTGCAGTGTCTCAACAGTGTCATTGTGGATCTAGGGTCTTTCTGTCTTTCTTCTTCACCATCTCCAGAAGGCTGCTATACAGAGACATGAAGGCAGAAGGGCACTGGGCAAAAAGTTTTACTCCTTCAAAGAAGAGCAGTTCTTCTTTATGTTAAGCCAGAGTGGTCATAAATTCTTCCGTAGACCAAACACTGGCCACAGTGAATAAGGTGGTTGTGATTGGTTTGGAATCAATTATCAATCAGCTAAAGGACTAAAAGTCCTCCATCTACTACTTGAGTTGTGTGGGGAGGCAGGTGTCTGGGGATGGTGGTTTTGTATATAACTGACAGCTTCAGTGATAACTTATCCATGTTTTTTGAGGAAGAACATAGGACATAACAAAACTCCTTAGTACTTATCCTTTATTGCTTCTCTTTCCTGGATTCTAAAACAAAGGGCTTAAATAATTTATTTTCTGCCTTTCTTGCAGATGGAAAAAGGAGATGATATTAACATTAAACAACTGTTACTGAATATGAGAAAATATCGAATGGGACTTATTCAGACACCAGATCAACTCAGATTTTCATATATGACTATAATAGAAGGAGCAAAGTTTATAAAGGGAGATTCAAATATACAGGTAAACTTTTTCAGGGGAAAAAATTAATACCTGTGTAATAACTATGACTAGCATCAAATAAATGCATTTCATTTAAGCACTTATATTTTTCCTTCCTTCCAAAAAGCATATTTACATTAAGGTGGTAAATCTAGCTGGCCATCTTAATTTTATAAAATTAAACTCACTACCTCATACATACCTCAGCTCATGAAATCCTGTCTGTTACTCAAAAGCTCTATGGGAACAAGATTACATTAAAGAAAATAAAATTTTCGTGTAAGGAGGGTTTAAGCATTTGATCATTAACCTGAAAATATAGGTGCTTTTACCCATTGAAAACTTGACCTAGGATTATAGAGTACTTAGTTTATATAATAGATATTTTATTTTATAATAATGAGCAACTTGAGTACTTATGACAGATATAATAAAATTCCAGTAGAATGTTATACTTTCTTCGGTTTGTGGTTTCTCATGAAAATATTCTTACTCCACATTTGCAAAAGCAAGTTCAATGACCGATTATCAGAAGCCATGTTATGTACTAACATAAAATGTAAAATAGAAACAACAAAGTAACAACAGACCCACATTTCTTGTCTGGTCTGATCACATAGTGATCAGACATAAGTTGATGGAATCTCTTTCTTTATATTTCTTTTATATGAATATATTTATCAGCTCTTTAATTTCTGCAATTCTAGCTAAAACAATATTATGAATAAGCTTTTAAGTTTCATTGAAAACTTTTTTTTTTTAAATTTTATTTAGTTACTTTTCAAGTACATTTTTTTTCTCTTCCCCCCCCCCCCCCGCCCGGTCTCCCCCCTCCCTCCCATTCCCCCCCCCCCCCAGTCCTCATCTCTGTGTCTTTCATACTTGTTCCTCAAAATCCCTCCCCCTTTTTCCCCTTAAGTTCCCTTCCCTCTCCCCTCTGGTCGCTGCCCACTTGTTCTCTATTGAAAACTTTTTTGAATCTCTTAATAGCTTAAAATTTTTTTTATTGAAAAGAAACATTAGGTTACTAAATGCCATCAGTTTGTAAAATAGCCAGTATGTAAGATTAAGCCCTACAAAACATGAGGCCCTATTTCAGAAGTCAGACTTTTGGAACATCAGGTTTGCTTGGCATTGAACAGTGAGTTGGAAAAGTTATCTGAAATGTTTTAAGATTAAGAAAATGTCTCTGTGTTTTTACCTCAGTGCACATTTATTTACCAATTTAAATCTGGAATTTTTAAAAAGTTAACTAGTTAGACCAAACTCGTCCACCCACTTTTTTAGTTTCCCCTATTGCCACTCATTGCTTGTTTCCTGGTTGTTCTTACAGACTGAATAATTGTAGGGAAAGTGTACTATCCTTTGGATAGTATTCCTCCCTGCCAGTTTAAATTTTTTTCAACTTTTTTTTTCTTAGTTTTAGAATGTATAGATATATACTTACTTTGAAGATCTTTTGAACTACAGAAATGAATTTTATGGACACTTTTTTTGTGGTCTTCATTATTGTGATGATGCAGGTTGTGGCTAGGGAGAATTTTTTCTGTCCCAGTTTATCTGATATGCCATAGCCATCAGACTATCAATTTGGCATCATTAGCACCCCATTCAAACCCAAGGCATTCTTTGCCCCCATTCCAGAAAAGACATTGGAAATGTCACTGTATTTTTCAGATGCTGGTAATCATTGTTACACATTTGTTACCAGTCATATTTCCCATTCGGAAGGGTCAGTTTCCATAGAAATTATTTGAGCAAGACACTAATAATTTGTGAGGTGCTGTTAAGTTTTTTTGTTATAAAAATGATTAGTGAGTACATATTGGATATAAAATAATTAAGAGTATGGAAGTACATCATGAAGTAGAAGTCCTTGTTAACTCACTCACCCACCCAAAATTTATAACAGTTTTTATATGTATGTATTCTTCCAGGAATATGTATTTATGTATATGGGCTTGGGGTTTTTTTTACATAGTTTTTTTATGTCCTAGAACTCCACTATCCAACAATATATCATTAACTACATGTGCTATTGAGTGTAGGTTTCTCTGCCATCTGAAAATGGAACATTCCTGTGAAACTTTTGGTAAGCTTAAATGGCACAGAGCAATGAAGCAGTTACTATTATTTTACATGGAAACATTTTTGTGCATTCTCAGACTCAAAAAATAGCCTACCAAGCCATACCAAATAATACATAAAACCTACCCTGGCTGGTACAGGTCAGTAGAGTGAGTGCCAGCCTATGAACTATAGGGTCACCTGTTCAATTTTCTGGTTAGAGCAAATGCCTGGGTTTCAAGCCAGGTCCCCAGTGGAGGGCACATGAGAGGCAACCACACATTGATGGTTCTCTCCCTGTCTTTCTCCCTCCCTTCTCCTCTCTCTAAAAATAAGTATATAAAATCTTTTAAAAAATAATAATGTAAGACCTAAAACAACACTAATGTATACAGGGGTATGCAAAAGTAGGTTTAAAGTGAGTACATGAAAGTTTATTCTTATATTAGTAGTGAAGACTGGCAATTTGAGCATTTGCGAGATTGCACCTAAGTACACTGTGCCATTGTGACATTCTCCTGAATTAATAAAGGTATTGTAATAATCATAACCTGCTTGTCTTTTTCTGTGCAAACAACTGTAAACCTACTTTTGCCCATCCCTGGAGTAAAAGTGGTGCCACTGTCACTGCTCAGGATGTATGCTGCCTCTGTAACAGCTCGCTGCAAAACAGTCACTGAATGCTATTTTCACAGAAGTGAAAAGTCCTCCAGATTTCTTTCCATTAGTGAACACTGATTGATATAGGTCTTTTTGTATAAGCAAAGCAGTGTCATGTGAACTTTTGAAAAATGGTATATCTGTACTTGAAATATGGCTAGTCTGAATCAAAATCTGCTTAAAATGTAAAATATGCGCCAAATTTTAAAGATTATGTACAAGGAGGAAGTGTAAAATGTTTCAATAACTTAGATGCTTAGATGGCAATATTTTAAAATATTCAGTTAAATAAAACATTGTTAAAATTTATCTTTTAAAAAATGGGTAAGATTTTAAAATTATATATGTGGCCTATATTATATTTCATTGGACAGTGCTATACTATAGAACCTTAGCTTAGAATGGATATCTAAGAGATATAATGTTCCCTGAAATCTTAAATCATAAAACTTTACTGTTACAAAGATGTAAAGTTACTTTTTATATATAGATGCCCCGAACTGAATAATATAACTTTACCCATAAAAGTATTTTCTTTTCTGGGTAATGATATCATCAGAATGGTATCATCAGAAATGATAACCGATTTATGAAATTCTTATTTCTCTCCATACACCTAACTCCTCTTCGCCTCTAGGTTTTGGGAAAACTTAATACTTTATAAGAAGAAAGAAGGAAGCTTCTTTCTAATGTGAGCACAATAGTAGTGAGGGTGGAGAATACTCCAGAACCTGTGTATCTCCCTCTGGAGAATGGTCTGTTCAGTAGCACCCAACCCATGTAATTCTTTGTCTCTGGTACTTTCTCCTAAAAGGAGACAGCTGTCTTCACCTTCAGTCTTTATTTAGATTTATATGATGCAAGTGATATTTTCATTACTGGATACAATTTTAAGTGAAGATATCTGGCACATGTGGATATAAAGTATTCATTTACAGAAGTCTTCAATGACCTTGACCTACCTAGATAAATATAGATAACTTCTAGTGGTCTCTTATAAAGATAGCATTTACCTTACACCTTTCTTGGTACATGGTCAGATGTAAATACACAATATAGTTGCTGGTATTACCATATATTTATTAGTACACTTGCAGTATCAGTGATGACACTAAACCTCTCAAAGTAACTAATCCAGTTTGGCAATTCAGAGTTGGTATTGAAGATCTCTGGCTGGTAATTCATTACTACTAATAAAGTATTTAGTAAATGATACACTTTTAACACATTATGGTGGGTTTTAAGTTTAATTACATGATTTTACTGCTCCTTTGAGGAGCTTTCTTCAGTGAGAAATGGGTGGGGTTGCAGGCAATGTGTTCAGGCATAGTGTCAAAAACAATGTTGTTTTCACTAAAGTAACTTCAGGGAGTGAGCATTGCATTAGTTCCAGAAAAGTAAGTTTCATTGTTACATTTCTCCGGAAAAATCATTAAAATTGTGAGAAAATAACTGTAGAGTTTTTTAATCATTAGATTCAAGACTCCATGTTTCCATGATAGGATCTTTAAAGATAGTCATCCTATCTATGGCAAGTCATTTTGCACCCGTTACAAATAATCAAAACCATTGGCTCCCCCTGCCACATCTTCTGCTACTCTTGTTATTGTCAGGGAGATGGATGGTTATCTTCCCAGCCCTAGAAAGACTTGAAAGCCAGTGCTCAGTGCTCCCCTGTGTCAATGTTATATTTGCCTTCTCCCTTTCTGGCCTGTACTTTATCACTGCCCTTGTCTTCCAGAAACCCAGGTACGCTCTGTACCTTTTCTTTTTCATCCTCTCTAGGAATAGTGTCAGTAAGGGCAAAGGAAACTGAGGTTTGCCAGACATGATGCTGGGCCCTTTCACATGTCATCTTATTAATCACAACAGGCTTCTGGGATAGGTGATGACATTAGCATTTCATGGATGAAGAAAATGTAATTTCTTATTGTCATGGTCTAAATGAAGTCTTTGCATGCTAGAGGAGTTTTCCCTAACCTGGTGTTGGGCTAGCTACATGGAGCTCCTAGTATGCCTAGTAGGGACAACCAAATTTAAGTCCTTTTGCATCATGGGGAGGTTTTGCATTAGATTAGACAATGGCAAGGAGATACTAGATCACTTCTTCCAGTGTTACATACCTGTGGATTAGGAGTCCAGCAAAATCTGACTTTGGCTAAAATCTTTTCACTATGACTAGTATTTTAATTAGGTCCTATTTCAATCATCTGTTAGCATTACAAGGCTTTCTTAAGTTGACAATAGAATTTGAATTCGTAAATTGCTTTAATATGAGGGAAAACCAAAATTTGAGTGCTTGCATTTGTTTTTTATCTTTCTTACCTAGAAACAGTGGAAAGAACTTTCTAAAGAAGACTTATGTCCTGCTTTTGATCAATCACCAACCAAAATAATGACTGAAAAATACAACGGGAACAGGATAGGATTAGAAGAAGAAAAACTGACAGGTGACAGATATACAGGACTCTCCTCCAGAATGCAAGATACTGTGGAGGAGAACAGTGAGAGGTAAGAATAACATGCTTGTAAAGAAGAGACTCTTTTCAGAAGGTCAATAAATGTGAACTGACATAGATGCTTTGTTTTTTGAACTAATATTACCATTTATTAACTACCTGAGAGTATTTCAATAGCATATGATGACATCATTGATGTCAAAGAGCTTTCAGTTCTAATAAGAAGCCAGTACTTACAGATAGACACCCATCGGAAATGGTGTAACAAAATATTAATCAAGTACAAAAGTTAATATATAGTATAATTAGATGCTAAAATACATAGCATGATATAAAAAATAAATGGTATGAATACCTGTTGTTTGTACAATTATGTAGTGTTTGTACTATAGTTATACTGTGATTGGTAATATGACTTCTATAAAATTATAAAATATTTAATTGAATATAAAAACTTAATTCCATTATTGGAAAAAGAAAAAGTTTTTTAAAATCACATAAATTCCCTTTTTTGAGTTTTGAATCCATAGTAATGTGTAAACTATTTAAATTTTTAAATTAAAAATTATATATATTTCTAAAGCTGTAATTAACCCACATGCATTAGGAAGCTGTCCTGTTATCCTGAGGTACAAGTCACTTGGAAAGTAAATGAGCTCTTTTTCTTACTCTCTTTGGTATCTCTGAATGATAGCTACTCTTCTTTGTGTCAAATAGGCTTTTATTGTGGAAAATCTTATGTTGTGGTTATATTTGTTATGTTGGGATCTTGGGGTGTGAAAATAGGAGACCGTGAAAATTAAGGTCTCCTATACATATGGCTTCACTTCTGTATCTCCTCAATGTAAAAATTACCTGACAATTTATAAAAGCTAACAATACATAGTATATGTGTTATATATTATATTGAAGTTTATTATGACTTAACAACACTGCTTATTTATGGCTTTAGAGGTTTTAGACTACAAGGTAAACCACAAAGTTGTTTATTTTTTCCTTTCACCTTAAATATACTTTTGTATCAAGAAATATTGTTTTAAACTATCTTATCTTTTTTGGTACTAAGATTCTCAGATCCTTGATGTTGGTGTAGTTTTGGCTAGTATTCTTTGCAGAATTAAATGGAATACAGTATTGATAATAGAGTAGGTACCCTTAGCACTTAACAGATGTTGATTTTTAATCTTTAAGGACACAGCCCAGCCATATTAACAGTTGCAACAAGGCAAAGCACTCATCCAAGTTTGGCAGTACAGAGCAGATCAGTAAAACCACTCAAGAGTTAGAGAGTGATTGCAAAAGGGAGCTCTCTGGAGTAGGGCGGGTAAAGAGCATTCACATGTGTTGTTTCCTTTCTTTTGGGACGATGAGACCGAGCGTATTTGAAAGCAGAGGGTTGGGTGACCATAGGAAAGTAAGGATTGTGAGTCCAGATAGCTAAATAAGGGAGCAAGTGTATAGAAAAAGTAAAACAACATAAAATAAATATTACTCATAAAAATGTTATTGTTCAGTCCTAATAAATTTTAACATTGATCTATAGCTTTGTATTAGAGATGCTAATAAATCAAAATCTTATTGAAAGGATTTCAGTTTGAAAGGAATAGAACGCAGTACTTCATTTGTTCATTTTCATTGTTAAATATCCTTGAAATCAGTGTTTTTTTTAATATGGGAGGTCACATTCTCATAGTCATGAAATCAACTTTTTAAATAATAGAATAAAATGTAATCAGAGTTATATTTGAAATCAGAGTTAAATTACAGAATAAAAGAGGTCAGTATCATAAATAGTAACGGTTTCAACATTTTTAAACATGTACATGTTATGTGTAAATTCTATACATTTATATAGTGTACCAATCTTTTTCATTTTTAGATCATTTATTTTTCAAGTGTATACCGCAGTGATTAGACATTACATAGCTTAGAAGTGATTTTGATAAATCTAATACCCATCTGACACTATACATACTCGTTAGAATTTTATTGTCTATCTTTCCTATGTTGCCTTTTACATCACCATGAAATGTTTTCTTTATTAAATATTTTACTGTTCTTTTACAATTGTCCCACTTTTTCTCCCTTTGACCTCCTCTGTCCAGCCCACCCCCCAGAGTCATTCCCAACCCTGTTGTTCCTTGACTCTTATCTTCCCCTTCTTTCCAACCTTATCCCCCATCTGCCCCGCCCTGCTCTCCTCTGGTCGCTATCAGTCTTTTCCTTGTTTCCATACTTCTGGTTCTATCTTGCTCATTTGTTGGTTTGTGTTGTTCATTAGGTTACTTTTTTTTTTTTAATTTATCTTTAGCGAGGAAGGGAAGGAGAGAAGGAGAGCAATATCAATGTATGGTTGCCTCTTGTGAGTCCCCTACTGGGAACTGGCCTGCAACCCAGGCATGTGCCAACTGGGAATCGAACCGTGATCGTGTGGTTCTCAGGCTGGCACTCAATCCACTGAGCTACACCAGCCAGGGCCTCATTAGGTTTCTTTTATAGGTAAGATCATACAGTATTTGTCTTTCACCCACTGGCTTATTTCACTTAGCATTATATTCTCCAGTTCCAACCATGCTGTCATGAAAGATCGTTTCTTCATCCTTTCTGCTGTGAAGTATTCCATTGTCTAAATGTACCATAGTTTTTTTTATCTACTCATTTACTGATGGGCACTTAGATTGTTTCCATCACTTGCCTATTATAAATAACTGCTTTGATCATTGGGGTGCATACGTTGTTTGGATTGGTGTTTCAGGGTTCTTAGGATATAATTTTAACAGTAAATTGCCGGGTCAAAAGGCAGTTCCATTTGTCGTTTTCTGAGGAAATTCCATTCTGTTTTCCACAGTGGCTGCACCAGTCTGTAGTCCCACCAACAGTGCACTAGGGTTCCCTTTTCTCCATATCCTCACCAGAACTTGTTGGTTATTGATTTATTAATCATGACCATTCTGACTAGTGTGAAGTGATAGCTCATTATGGTTTAATTTGCATCTCTCTAATGGCTAGTGATGTTGGGTCATTTCGTATGTCTATGGGCGTTCTATATGTCCATCTTGGAGAAGTGTCTATTCATGTCCTTTGCCCATTTTTTTAAAGGAATGCTCTTTTTACTTTTAGAGAGAGGGGCAGTGAGGGAGAAAGAGAGGGAGAGAAATGCCAATACGTGGTTGCCTCTCATGCATCCCCCACTGGGTATCTGGCCTACAACCCAGGCATGTGCCCTGACTGGGAATTGAACCAGCTATACCTTGGTTCACAGGCTGGCACCCCACTGAGCCACACCAGCCAGGGACTTTGCCTATTTTAAATTGGATTGTGTGTCTTCCTGGTGTTGAGTCATATGAGTTATTTATATATTTTGAAGATCAAACAAACCCTTATCCAAGGTATCATTGGCAAATATGTTTCCCTGTACAGTCAGTTCTGTTTCATTTTGATAATGGTTTCTTTGTCCTTGCAGAAGCTTTTAAATTTGATATAGTCCCATTTGTTTATTTTCCTTTATTTCCCTTGCCCTGGGAGATATAGCAGCAAAAATATTGCTGCGTGAGATATCTGAAATTTTATTGCCTATGTTTTCCTATAGGGTTTTTATGGTATCACAATTTATATTTAAGTATTTTGTCCATCTTGAGTTTATTTTGGAGCATGGCATGAGTTAGTGGTCAAGTTTCATTTTTTGCATGTACTTAGTTCTCTGGATCATTTATTAAAGAGGCTATTTTTACTCCATTTTATGCTCCTGCACCCTTTGTCAAATATTAACCATATAGACATGAGTTTATTTCTGGCTCCTCTATTCTGTTCCATTGATCTATGTCTCATTCTTATGCAGTTCCAGACAGTTTTGATTACAGTGGCCTTGTAGTATAGTTTGACATCAGGTATAATGATCCCTGTTACTCTGTTCTTCTTTCTCAAGATTGCTGAGGATCTTCGTGGGGCAGGGGGGAAGGTCTGTTCCATATAAATTTTTGAAATGTTTGTTTTATATCTGTGAAATATGCCATTGGTATTGTAATAGGGATTGTGTTGAATCTATAGATTGCTGTGGGTAGTATGGACATTGTAATGATATGAAATCTTCCAATCCTTGGACATGGTATATGGTTCCATTTATTTGTGTCTTTCTTAATATCTTTCTTCAGTGTTGTATAGTTTGCCAAGTACATGTCTTTTATTTTCATGGTTGAGTTCATTCCTAGGTACTTTATTTTTCTTGTTGTTATCTATAGCAAATGGGATTTTTCCCCTAGTTTTTCTTTTTGATATTTGACTATTGGTATACAAAAATGCCCTCAATTTCTTTTTTTAATATATTTTATTGATTATGCTATTACAGTTGTCACATTTCTCCCCCTTTATTCCTCTTTGCCCTGCACACCCCCTTCCACCCATATTACCCCACTTTAGTTCATGTCCTTGGGTCTTACATACAAGTTCTTTGGCTTCTCCATTTCCTATACTATTCATAACCTCCCTGTCTGTTTTCTACCTATCATTGATGCTACTTATTCTCTGTATATCTCCCCCACTCTTCCCTTTCCACTCCCTAGTGATAACCCTCCATGTGATCTCCATTTCTGTGATTCTGTTTCTGTTCTAGTTATTTGTTTAGTTTGTTTTGTTTTGTTTGTTTGTTTGTTTGTTTGTAGGTTCAGTTGTTAATAGCTGTGAGTTTGCTGTCATTTTACTGTTCGTATTTTGGACCATGTTTCTTTTCATAGGTAAGTAAGTGCCTTTAACATTTCATATAATAAAGGCTGGGTGATGATTAACTCCTTTAACTTGACCTTATCTGGGAAGCACTTTATCTGCCCTTTCATTCTAAATGAGAGCTTTGCTGGAGAGAGTAATCTTGGATGTAGGTCCTTGCCTTTCATGACTTGGAATACTTCTTTCCAGCCCCTTCTTGCCTGCAGGGTTTCTTTTGAGAAATCAACTGATAGTCTAATGGGAACTCCTTTGAAGGTAACTGTTTCTTTTTCTCTTGCTGTTTTTAAGATTCTCTCCTTATCTTTAATGTTAGCTAATGTAATTATAATGTGT